CTTCACACCTTGATCAAGATCATGCAGAAACACGGTCTTGACTGGCTGGCCCTCACAGAGACCCACGTGAAACAACAGGACCGCTTCATGATCGATGGATACACTGTCACCCACAGCGCCGATGACAAGTTGGATGCAAAGGGCAACCCGGTACAGACCTTCACGGGGGTGTCCTTGATCACCTCCCCACGGCTCACACCTTGCATCCTGGACATCGTTGCCACCGACGGTCGTTTCCTCTCCTTCAAGTTAGACACGGCCGAAGCCCCTCTCACAGTTCAGGTGGTGTACGCTCCTCACAACCAACGTGAGCAGCCAGTCCGTGACTCCTTCTGGCAGTCACTAGGAGACATCCTTCACAGCCACCCCGCCAGCGAACCCCTTCTACTAGTAGGCGACTTCAATGCGCAGCTGCTCGACGAACTTTCGTCCAATCGCGGCAGTGTCGGGCCACACGCCCACTTTGGAGCGAATGTGGCAGATGAGACCATAGCCTCACAGGCCGGCGAGGATGACTCTCTTTCCAACCACGCGCAGCTGTTCGAGATGTCGGTCAGTCACGACCTGTGCTTCCCTCAGACGTGGATGGACAAAGCCGAGAAACACCGGATGACACACCAGCGTCCGAACGGTGATCTGGTTCAGCTGGACCACGCCATTACCAAGTTCGCCTGGAAGAATATGGTCACTGACGTGCACACCCTCCCGAACGCTGCCCTCAACAGCAACCACTTTCTCACCAGAGTCACGCTCTCCTTACACACAGCTTGCCACAAGAGAGCAACTCCCACCCGCAAGCCAACCAGACGCCCAGACGCTGAGTCCATACTCTCTTTCAACAAACACTTCACGGAAACCCTTCAGCAACAGCCAGCCTTCGAGGAGCCTGCCCCACCCGAGGCCGAAGCGGAGGACGCCTCCCCCCAGCCTTCACAGTTGAATACCGAACAGCAGAGGCTGGACCAGCAATGGCAATCGATCAAGGACTCCATTTTGTAGTCCATGGAGAAGCACATCCCCACACAGGACAGCAAACCTAAGCACCCTTGGATTAGCCAGCAGACGTGGGAGCTCATAGAACAACGCACAGCCGCTCGCCAGAGCCAGGACTCGGACACTGAGCGCGCATTACATAAGACCATCCGCTCACAGGCCCGCAAGGACAAGCAGCAGTGGCTCAAGGCCGCCTTCAGGAGAGCGAAGCTCGGGATACGTGGCGTTGGATAAAGCGCATCCGCTCGGACTACAGGCCCCGCACAGTCACCTTGAATGACTCCAACGGCAAGCCTACCAGCTACAGCAAGCAGGCCGACACCTTTGCAAAACACCTGTCAGAAGTCCAGTGGGCCCCACCAACCACGGACTACACAGGTCCCACCCACCCACTCACAGGCGCAAGTCCAGTCAACATGGAACCCATCACGATGGAGGAGCTCAACGCCACCCTCAAAGGCATGGCCTCACACAAAGCTCCCGGCCCTGACCAAATTCCAGCAGAGGCTTTAAAGTGGCTCACCCCAGCCAATCGGCAGCCGCTACTTGACCTCTTCAACGACGCACTGCTCACAGGTCTAGTACCGGAAGAATGGTCAACAGCCGTCGTGGCCGAGATTCACAAGCGCGGCACAATGGCGGACCCCAACAATTATCGCCCCATCGCCCTCCTCAGCACCTCCTACAAGCTCTTCGCCAGACTTCTCCAGAAACGCCTGGAGCAGGCGATAGACCACAAGCTGCGACCCACACAGTATGGGTTCAGAGCCACCAGATCGACCTCACAGGCGATTCATGTGGCCCGGAGGCTTCTGGAGCGAGCCGAACGCTGCGGCTCAACCCTGTACGTGCAGCTTCTTGACTGGAGCCAGGCATTTGACAAAGTACACCCGCAAGCAGTCACGGTGGCACTCGAACGCCACGGGGTGACGCCGTCGTTTGTCAATCTGATTGGCTCGATCTACAACAACCCCTCCTTCACAGTCAAAGCTGCAGGACAACAGAGCCAGCAGTCCCTTGCAAGCTCGGGCATTCGCCAAGGCTGCCCGCTTTCCCCCTACCTTTTCCTGGTGGTTCACAGCATGATCATGGCGGATGTCGACGAGGAGCTACAGAAGCACGGCCAGATGCTCCCGTGGCTTTTCAGCCAGAACCAACCTTTCTACGACCTTGCTTACGCAGACGACATGGCCGTCTTCACAGGTACTGCTGAAAGGGGCCAGCAGATTCTGCACAAGATTCAAGAAGTTGCTGGCTACAGCAACCTCTCGTTGAACCTTAAAAAGTGCGAATTGCTGCGCTCACAGCTGGCCGTCAATCACATACACTTCCTCACAGGTGAACCAATGAAGGAAGTCACGCAGGCCAAGTATCTCGGAGTGGTGCTCAGCCAGGACTCGTCCAGCAAGGCGGATATCACCGCAAGACTGGGGAAAGCCCGGAAGCACTTCAGCACACTGCACGCCTTCTGGAGACACACAGGCTTGAGTGTAGCGTGGAAGTTGCGCATCTACAACGCGGTCTTCATTCCCATGATCGCCTATGGCATGGAGTCCGCCGCGCTCACCACAGCAGACCTCCACAGGATTGAGGCCTTCCACTCACAGTCAGTCCGCAAGATCCAAAGGATCAAAGCCACCTACTACACCAAGGTTCTCACAGACAATCCCCACGCACAGACCATCCGCAACGAAGGCGTCAGAGCCCTTGCCGACCAGCCCCCCCTCACACACCACATCCACAGGGCACAACTAAAGTTGTTTGGTCACTTTTTGAGAGCAACTCCGAGCAACCTGGAGCGAAACTGTGTTTTTACGAAGGCGTTTGTATATAGAGGGGGTACAGTACAGGCAGGCATACGGCCGGGACGTCGTAGACTTCACTGGGCCGAGCAGTGTGCCGAACTAGCATGGCACTGGCTCTCACATACCCAACATGCCATGACCTCCCTATCCCCTAGTTTTCCTTTTGCCTTCCTTTTGCTTCACAGGCTGGCTGTTAACCGTCCGGCTTGGTCTCAGTTAGTGGGGCTGCCAACGTGCAAGAAGCTCCTCAGGTCTAGCGCTTTCTTCTCCTACTCACAGTGAGTACGCTGACTTGTGTCTGCTTTGCATAGGGCCGCCCAAAAATTGTGCTGGTAGAAGGACGGCCTCGCCAGTTGACGACCAGTGGTCACCAAGTCCCCGGAAACAAGAGCCAGAAAAGGCAGTCTCCCACCGATCGCTGAGGAGAGGCAGGGCTGAGAAGTGGGCCCAAGGCTGCAGGTGATTCAGCAAGTGAGATGGCTCGTGCAAGTGACAGCACAGAACTACTCCTACCGTGACCCTATGCAGAAAAGCCATTCGCCAGCCATGTGCAGCGGAACGGGGCGCAGGCTGAAATGGACTGGATGACGCCCAAGTACTGGAGATGTCGGTCCTGGAGGGTCGAATGGCGGCAGAGGGGCAACTCGAGGCGACCCTCGGCACTGAGGAGGGAGCACCCGGCGAGGCAGCCTCGAGCCTGGGCGCGCAGGAAGCATCAGAAGGTCTGGACATGCAAAGCTGAGCTTCCGGCGAGGGGACCTCGAACCAGGCAGGACGCTTGAGGTGCCGGATCCAAGGCGAGGGAGCCTCAAACCTTGGTCGGCCGGGCAGGAAGATAGACTGCAGGTGAGCTCGGTTGAGGCTCCGACCCGGCTTTGGAAGCTGGGCAGGTAGATCACAGACTACGGTTCGATGGAAGCAAAAGGAAAGCGCTGCAACAGGCAATGCTCGAACCCTCGGAGTGGCAGGGCAGGTGCATGATATTGTGCAAGAGCGGCCTGCATTTCTAATACCAGCAGTCACAGGTGGGGACCGATGCATGTGCCAGTACCTAATCCATGGTCTCAAGTTGGATATGGCGGCGTCCATCTGCATGGTCATCATCCCATAGTGGCCTGAGCGAGAACCAGTCCCAAAATCCGGAAAACAAGGTCGTAGAAGATACTTGGTCCAGGACGGGTCAGGGAAGGCGCAGCGGTTACCAGTAGCCGAGTATGTGTAGTCCGAGGCAGAGGTCAGGTTTTGCTGCATACGGAAGAGCTGCTGCGCTAGCGGCGTGAGGCGAAGCCTGCCGGGCTTCCTAATCTGCAGAAACCAAGGATTGTCACGCGCAGACGGTCCTGAGGCCCGGCTGAATGCATGGTGCCGGCAACTCCACTGTTGTGGAAAGCCGCTGGTGGCTCTGAGCGCTCCGAGTACAGGTGTGGCTTGCAGTATGCACAGAGGACCTGAGTGGTTATGAGCCCAAACTGCCCACTGTAACGACGAAGTGGCACATTGCAACCAGCCTGTGCGGTTGTCCTGACCAGGTGTAGCCATCGATAAACCTGGGGTCAAACACGAGCAGGGTGGTATTGTAAAGAAGAGGCCAGGGGAGCGTAGGCAGCCCACTGCTGTGAGTTCCTGGGGCGGGTTCCTGCACAGGAAGCATAGCAGTCCGACAAGACAGGAGCAGAGAAGTGGAAGCCACCCTAGGCGGCCTCCGAAGTACTGCTGATTTCGCGGAATCTTGTTGCAGGTGCTTGTGCAGATCATGGCGCCATCCACTCGGCTCCGGCGTACAACGGAGAATTTCCGCGTTCCAAGATCCATGGCACGAGTGGGCCAGAGGCCAGTCCCTGAAGACCAAGGCCCGCACGACCACCCCAAGAAAACCAGAACACCAAAACCCAACACAGAGACGGCACCCTGCTGCTGAGCCTTCCAGACCCTACATATACACATAGATATATACGCATACACATAGATGTACACAGAAACATTGTCGATCCCAAACCGTGCGTAAGTACTATCGGTGTATAATTGGAGCCCTTGCGGGCTTCACAGAGCACCTTTTGAATCCTCAGCCTCGCCCTTGGCTGGAGACCTGACTGCGCAATCTCAAGCCCTAGGCCCTAAGCACCTGGCAAAGACAAAGCACAAGCAATAGGTGCACAGACAAGTTTCGATTTCAGATTCTGTTTGCCCCGTGAATGCCATGAGGCATCCTCGAACATCTAGTAGACCCACGTGTGCAAGATCTAGGTACGCGCCCGCAGCAGCTTGATTCGATGTTCGGTGACGGCTTTGTGAAATGCAGGTCTTGCGGTGGCGAAGGCCTTGGATCAGTATTTTCAAGGGGGAGTGACTGGTGAGCAGGTGCCGGGCCCGCGTGGATTCTGTGCCCATGGCAGTGTCTGCTGGAATTACAGGATGTGAAGCTCTTGCTGCTCCAAGCCACACAGCCACGGATTGTGGAGATTCGAGAGCTATGGCACGAGGTACAGTCCTGGGCCCTGGGCGTCGAGACAGCCTCGTATTCTCTGTTTTGAGGTAAAGCTTGGAGCTTTACATGGGCCCGGCTTGGGCTGGGGCGTCGAAGAGCCCAGCTTGGGTGCGAAGAATCTTGTCATCTCTGCAGCTCATGTTGCTATATCAGGTCGCAGTAAACCCTGCCAATCTCTTTGTTCTGCAGTCCTTCGGCCAACCTGTGACGTTCGCCCAGAAGTAGCTGATCTTTGACAGCATGGTGTCATACAGCTCGAAAAGGTACCAGCCTCGACAGCAGGAGCATTCCCAAGCCTTTTGGGCCATACCCTCACGCAACCGTACCACTTGTCACGACGACTCACCTGGCATATCCGTGTCTTGAGGTTGCGGCCGCGACCTTTGAACAAGCACGCGTACTTCTGCTCCATCTTGAGGCCCAGCGCAGCCAAGCCTTCCAATCTGCACAATCAAAGCTTGGAGACAGTATCCGAAATAACATGGACAAGCTAGCAGTAATCTTTTCGTTCCACTTGCTAAAGCTTGTAAGCGAGAGTCAGACAGGTTGTTTGCAACAGTGGTTCTTCGTTTGCGGCCTCGAGGCATTGCTGCGGACATTCGGAATGACCATAAATGCTGCCGTCTCAGCTTGGTGGTTTAATGCGACAGGTTTTGCTTGGTTTGTTTTTTTGCAGACGGGGCAGTGTTATGAACTGGCTTGAGGCCCACGGCCTCTTGCAGAGTCCGCTACTTGGTACACTGGACGCCCCTAGGCAACTTGCCCAACTTGCATTCCAGGTCTCAGTGGCAGCTCCGAGCCTTTCCTTTCACAGCTTTTGGCTTGTAGCGGCCCCGCGGCCCTGCTCTGTTCTTGTTCTTGACGCCTTGGCCGAGGCCACAGCGACGACGCGGAGGCGGCTGAGATGGGCACAGAGCACGACTTGTCTCGGTACAGACGCATGGCTTGCCCGGCACCAGTCTGCCCCGGTGTTTTGCCAGCCGGCAAGCCCTGCGCTTTTCCAAGGCTCGATCAAGTACGGAAGTGCCGGCATCGATGTCATTGCAAGCATCGGAGGCATCGAAGCAGTCTGAGCATGAGAGTGGATGTTTTTGTTGAAGGGTCTCTAAGCTCTGGGGTAAGTTGCAGACTCCGATGAGTTCGAAGATTGTGTAGGTTTCCGTCCTGACCGAGGCTCGCATCCCGGACTAGCTCCAGCTCAGAGTTGAAAAGAGCCCCGGCATCCACGGGTCCGACTGCTTTGCCTCCGCGTGTCCAAGTGCAGGGCCACAAGCACCCTGTGGATGCACACGTGGATTGTTTGGACAACGACGTCCGCTGTAACGATCAGGGTTCGACCAAGTCCATGGCCCAGATCGGAAAGAAAGCAGGATTTACAGCTGCAGATGGGCGTCGGTATCTGGGCCCGGAATGTGCGGCTTTGTTTGGAAGACTTTCAGAGAGGGACTATAACGAGCTCAATGGGCAGGGCGCAGCAGGAAGGCTGGAAGGCGTCCATCTGGCCCTCGCCTGGTCCCCTCGGTTCCCCCTCGAGAAACATGAAGCCTTGCTTTAGCTTGTGCTGCGAGGCGCAGTTTTCAAAGCTGCAGATTGCGAGGGATCGTTCAAAAGACCTGAGGGCTGCCGAGTTCACTGTCTTCCACGGAATGATGCCTGAAGCTCAGAGGTGCTGGTAGTGATGATCTTCCTTTCGGTGATAGGAGGAAGAAGAAGGTGAAGATTTTAATTAAGATGAAGATGGTGATGATTATCATGATGACGAGGATGATGATGATGTTGGTGATGATTATGATGACAAGATGAGATGCTCTGTATCATTTTCTTTCGATTCATCTTCTAGTTTCCCCCCAAACCCTGCAGCACGACGGAGCGCGGATAGGGGGTCAAACCAGGATGTGCAAGAATGACCGCGCAGCGTCGCTGGAGGCCCTGTGAGGGTGCCAGGCCCCAGGCGAGGCGTCCGTATGGAAAGGAAGGATGATGATAAGGATGCTGCCAGGCACGTGATGCTACGCAACGTCATTGACATTTTCGTCAAACGCACGTGTGTGTTCAGTAGCAGCCGTGAGCGGCGTAGCTGCCTTAAAGCATTCTGGCTCCACGCCTCGACAGACCCTGTTGGACGGCGAGATGGTGGAAATGGATACACCGTCGAAAGTTTTGGATGCGACATGACGCGACGTTTTCCGACGACTCGGGGTACGTCGGCGCCTTTGCGGCGAGCACATCCCGACGACCACAGCCAGAGGACACGGCGGCACGGGTGCTCATTCTCAAGGCGCCACTGTCGATGATTTCTCGAGCCGCCATCGGGTGCTAAGACGCCGGCGGATTTCTTCGTCCCACGTACCAACAGCATTCCGGCACCCGACGAAGGTCACCCACGGCTTTGACCCGCTGGCTCGTGGACTTGTCGGCACTGGCCAGTCCCAGGGTTGTCAGCGCATCAAAGCTGCCATCAGGACTGGGCCACACTGGCCTAGTCGCGGACCGACGCCTTCTAAGCTGAGTGAAGCGATCCATGTCATTGCAGCAGAGCCGGCGCGGATCCCGCGGTGAGTAACGCGCGACCCCGGATTCCAAAGGCGGCCTCGGCATCAATTCCCATGGCACCCTTCCCTGGATTTTGGACCTGGCCAGACGTCCACTTGCACAGTAAAGCACGCCTGCTCGATGTGTTTCATACCATATCCGCACCGCCTCCCAAATTAGAAAAGATAGTGATCCCAAAGCCCTGCGATGCACCGCCGAGCCCAATCATCGAGAATCGAAGGCCCTTTGCCGCCCTTGATGGCCGAGGGTCCGTTGGCACCTCCGGCGACTATACGTTGTTATCGCGACAGGCCGAGGCCATCCGAGACCGCGCCGACGTCACAACAAGCTCCTTTCCGCCGACGGCCGGCGGCACCTGAGCGGCGCATCCCAGCGACTGAAAGGTCGGCCGGTGTGTTTTCCGGCGCCAGTCCTCGGCGTCTGACAATGCACATCCTCGCGAAGGCGGTGTACAACCTCCTGTAGTGGATGGTGCAGCGGACGACCTCGTCCTGCTCCACGTTGAGGCTTTCTCGTTGTGGGCTGGGCTCTCCGTGCGGTGCTGATACGTGCACCTGGCGCCGGCTTTGGGTTACGAGCCTTGCGCCGAACGGCGCTGTAGCGCTTCTATCCAAACGAAGCAGAAAAGGGGTCGTCCGTGCTTTCTGGCGTCTAGAGCTATAGAGTGCGGTGTTTGTTTGAGATGGCATGGCATTGCATGGATACGATGCAGCATTGTGAACTATCATGTTTGCGACATTTTGCGAGCCATCGCCGGCCGAAGTTTTCCGAGCCAGGTTTCAACATTAACGGCAACATTTGGCCTCCTTGCAGGGCTCGAGGAACCTTTGTACAGCGGACACACTGCACGAGAAGATCGGCGCACTCGGAACAGTCCCGTCGCGATGGTAGAGACCGGTGTGCCGCTGGATGACGAGCAGCTACGTGAACTGGTGGACAGGCGGATTGGGCATTGTGCAAGTGCTGGGACTGCTTTTGACATGCCCGTGTCGTGCATTGTATTCTGTGTACTCGCATAGTGCGAAACTGTATTCCGTTCTCTGGAATCTGACCCTCACCATGGTATGAGGCTGACCGACGAGGGCTTCTTGGACTTCGTGCAGCGATTCACGGAGGCGGAGTTGTTGTCTTGACTGTCTCGAGAAAGCAGATGCTTTGTCACACGAGAACTTCTTCCGCATTCCGTCTCTGTACTGCTCCTCGAGCCTCGAGCTCTGTGCATGTCGAGCTGGTTCCGATGGCAAGGAGAACAGTGCTGTGTTCGCAAACTTTGACGGACAAGAGCACTTGCACAGCACTCGGTGAGGGCAGGTTGTTCGATGAAGCTGCCCAGTTGAGATTGCACGTTTGTATTTCCCATTGGTGACGGCCCGCTCCACGAGGCATTGCTACAATGCGCTCCACGCCCAGCCAGCTGGCCTCAGCAGCGTCGGTTTGCGCACAACCGCATAGTCCAATTGCACTGGTTTTACTACCTTCTTGCACGTCCAAGTTAATCCTAAGCAGAGCGGAAAGCCAAAACTGATGAAGGAGGGATCGCAGCAGCAGACAACAGATTCGGGAGTATTCCTGATGCCGGTTGTGGCTTCAGCACTCGCAGAAAGTAATCCATCAAGTCTCCTGAGATTCAAGCCGCTGTTGAGGGGCAAGCAGCGATGCGTAATTAGTCTGCGGGAAGCAGAACGAACTCCAGCAGACAACAGAACTATGTGCTTTTCGCTCTCTAGTTTAAACACATCAGTCGTTTTGACACTGTTGATTTGCTGGCTTGCGTGCCGCAAAACCCGGCAATGTCAACCCTTGCAGTACTTGCGATCGTCGCCAAACTTCAGAAGCTGCACAAAAGAGTCTGTCCGTTCCAGATTGCGAGCAGAAACCCCAAGAAGTTGAGCATTAAGAACAGACATGGAACAACCAATAAGACTCTGTTATTTTGGGCCGGCCCAAGCTTGATTTTTGCAGGCCTGCATTAACAGTTAGTGCTGCGTAGCATCGAGTACACTACACCTTTGTCGAGCTTAACATCTCAAGCATTCTTTCCCAAGGTATCAGCGCTTCTTTGAAGCAAGGGCTGAGGCATGGCTTTGCAAGAAGGGCCACAGCCGCCGTCTCGGGAAGACTCAGATCGGGAGCAGTGTGAAGACACCTCCGTTGCCACTGTGGGCTCGAAAGCTGTCACCGCGCATTCCCCCGGCCGCATCATGGCAGCTTCTCTCAAAGATTGTCTTACAATATGCTCTCTGTATCAGAACTGGCAGAGCCATGACTCATGTCGGTTATTGAGGTCGTTCGCGGCAGAAGGCTCACGCCACTGACTCGCCTGGCAGCTGTCGCTGCCAGTGTATGCTTGGTGTGCATAGGCAGGAGATTCGGCAAGCTTTGTTTGGGAAAATGCCTGCTCCGCGATAATGATGACGTGTTTACAAAGTTTTGTTGCCAAGCAGATAGTGCTACTCGCTGTCGCTCCCATTTTCCTGTCGTCCGCACGTAGAGCAAGAGAGTGTAACGTGGGCTGTTAGGCTCTGTGTTGGAATCGCCAGCTTACGTTACCTGCTTTGTTTGCACCAGGAGGCAGCGCTTTCGTCGGCTCTTGCGCATCGAGTCGTGGAGTGTCGTCTGCACCTTGACGAGCAAGCAAGCTAGCCACTATTGGGAGATTGGAGCAGAGTTTCATCTTTGCAGGCATCTGCACTTTGTCACGATGTCCGCCAGGTGACTCGCTTGTCTGCATACCAGCGGCCCACTGGCGCACAGTCCGATGAGCACTTAGCTCCTAAGCTGGAACTCGTCCGCGGAGCAGCGGCGACTGGACTGGCAATTCTGTTGGGTTTATTTACCGTGCTGGCGCCAGCTTCGGCCGAGAGCAAGCGGGTGGTGGGCGAGATTCCTGCATCCGGATTCATCTTCAAGGACACTATCAATGTGGAAGCTTTTGAGGATCCGAAAGTTTCTGGCGTCTCGCTGTACATCTCCGACTTCTCTCGATCCATGGCAGATCGGGTTAGCAAAGGCGACTTCTTTTCGGACCCGGGGGCTGCAGGCCTGACCTGTGCCAGGAACGGACCTGTAATGATCTCTCCGGATCTAAAGCCGAGCAAGGAGGGAGAGGACGTCTTCACGGAGTCACGTGCCATCCTCTTCAAGACATTGAAGGTGAAACGCATTTATGATGCAGATGCAAAGAACATCCTCTATGTGGCCTTCACAGAAAGGATGGACAACAACAACGACAGCAACAAGAGTCGCTTCAAGAGTCAAGTCCTCAACTGACAGGTCATCTTGATCTGAATCGAGTTTCAGGGTGGAATTGGAGTCGAGAAGGGGCAAAGAAAACTACACCTTCGGAATGGATATCGCAAGACATCTCTACTTGGCGCTCCGTGTACGGTGTAAAGGCACCTTCATGATAGTAAGAGTGCTAACCGCACCAACGACAGTCAGTGCATGCCTAAACAGTAGTCGTCATTCGGCGAATTTGGCTTGGCTTTGGGTTTGTCTTTAGCTTCTCCCAGCATGAGCCTAAAGCCTCCCAGATTTATGCGAGCAGCTAGTCCGACGGATTGTTTGCACATTCGGGACCATCAAGGGATGTTGAGAAAATATTGGTGCTGATTGCTTTCAGTGAGAGTGCAAGCTCCACAATAATGCAGGACTTGCAGTGTACGCTTCTACAGGATACAGGTTCAGCTCGCACAAAGACCTACAGCCAGCGAATCAGCATTTCTGAGGTCAAGTCGTTGCAGTCCATATTGATGGAGTGAGGGAAAAGCCGTAGACAGATGCCGGAAATGGAAATTCGTGCGAAGCATCTTTGTTCATGCCATTAGCGGCATGGGTGCAGTCAGCGCCTCCGTTCTGATCTCAGGTTCCTCGCTGCGGAAAACAACTAGTAACTAGTGGTGCATGCCAGTCAGTTGTTGGGTGCCTTACAATCAGAGGTGGGCGTAAGCCGGCAACCCCACCATCCCAAGTTGAAGCCTTCGGCACAATGAACGAAGAAGACATATTGCAACCATATCATATGTTGCACTGGCCATCTTCTTGGCATGGGAATAGCTCCTGAGGCTTCGAAGCGTTTCAAGAAGCCGTCCAGCAGGGAGGCCGAGCGGCAAGACTGACGCTGTATCATGAGCACGAGTATCGGAGGCGCACTGGGGTAACCGGTAACAGTTAGCTACAGGCAGCGGACTCGAAAAATGCAGATTTGCCACCTGCTACCACATGCTGAAACATCGAGTGCAGCGTTGATTGAACTTGGCAGGCCTTGCTCAGGACATCGCGGACTCATTGCTGGCAGTGATGGATTATCAGGCTGCAGGGGGCGGGATTACCCACCAAAGCCCATGCTCAGCTTGTGCTTCGTGAGGCTTTCGTGGCGTTGATGCAGCGGCAGCTTGCTGCCACCAATGGTATCTTGGATCCCTCGCAGGCACTGGCAAGAGTTTCAGCGGTCGTGCTGAAATCTATATTTGATGCAGAACATTCCGTCGCTCAAGACTCATTTCTTCTTACCTACCTGCGACTGTTGCTCTGCTTATCTCGAAGCCAGGTGGCGGCTCAGCATGTTGTTTTGGGTGGATTCGACAACAGCTCTCGATCGATTGACGGAACGACGGTGAGATTCGAAGGTGTCTGGTTGGTCAAACACATCTGAGAAAAAAATCCACTCGTTTAAACGGACGACTGTTTCGAGCACTCCCAAGATTCAGAGAACACGAAGACGAAAAAACTCGTACGGTTACACAGAGACTTCTCCGCAATTACCATCGGAAGTTCATGTTCGTGCCCAACTGCCTGCTTTTTAATGTCTGTGCGCCCGAGGGTCAGCGTTGGCGTTCATGAGTCATGTTGTGCTGGCAAGTAAATTGCAGCCCCGCCGTTGCTGCAGGCTGTGCCGGATTCTTTGGCCTCAGGCGGTGACGGTGACTACAGTGACACAGTGTTGTCGCGATGTGTGCACCTGCGAGGCCTGGAGGGTGGTGAGGGAGAGGTACCGAGGCCGGGATGGATCGTGCCGTGGGCAGCGAAAGTTCTCCAAGCGCGCAAGCGCGAGGTCTGGTGGCTACAGTGGCTATGGTGGCTACGCCTCTGAGGCCTGGAGTTAGGTGAAAAATATGAAAGGCTGCAGCATTCCTTTCTGCCTGCGCTCTCCGCAGGCAGTCTTCAGCAACTCGCATGTTTAAATGATGCCTAGTGGACCTGGTAGTTAGATGAACAGCGAAAGCTGTTCACGTCTTAGACTGACCTTGCCAAGCAAGAGTCGTGACCCATGACAGGCCATCACTTTGTGTGAAATACTGGAGTATGGTTCTCTTTATGGCAGCCGGAGTCTCCTGGGTAGGTCAAGCCACGGACATGACAACTGAGAGAACTGCTCAGATGCTTCGGATTTTCCTCACTGTATGTGAGGAGACACACGCAAGTGTCAATTCCATATCGTGAGCTTGACCCCAGGTGCCATGCAAGGCTGTCTCGCTCAAGCAATGAACACACGGCATGTTGTGCCAGCATTCAACTATATCGTCGGGAATGACAGCCACAGGAGTAGCAGAACAGCCCACATCGGGTGCTTGTAAAGTCTGTGTCATCCGCGCTGACCAGAAGACACTTGCCCGACATGGCGCTGCCTGGCAGCACCGGATTTGAGGCCTGGCTGCTGCACTGCCGTAAAATCCTGGACCGAGGCAAATTAAGCTCAAATGGAACAAAGAAGAGTTCGACATCACCATCGAAGAGGGCTCCACTGTTGAGGCTTGAGCTCATGTCCTAGTTGCAGCTCCCTGTTTGGTCTCGCTGGAAGGTCTTCAAAACACAGGTTTGGACTCTGACTCAAGTGCCTATGGATAGGCAGCGCCATGGAAGCAAGTGGCACAGCTGTCTGCCAGGGAGCTCATATCATACTCGGGTGCTGAGGAAATTTTTGGGATTTCCTGGAGGGATGCTGAAGGATACCGACGACCTCATGGCCAAGGCGACCGTCTCGAAGCTGCCGAGTAGGCGCGGCAGGGAATGATGCCACCGTTCATTTTGCAGGTTGCGAAGCTGAAGCCAGGGGCAAAGGTGCAGCTGATGGGCACCCCCGAGGCCCCTTCTCGTGTTGGAAGCGAGCTCGAGCTGTCCTTTCCGATCGCCTGTCATGTGTCAGGGCAAAGAGCTGAAAGCTCCGGAGGAGAAAGTCGTCTTCGAGGAGGACCTGTCTCCGGAAGAGAAGGCGAGGATCTTGAAAGAGAAGTCTGGGCCTTGGCCAAAAGAAGCGTTCCGTTCCTGCAGCCAAGAGAAGCTTGCCGTAATGTACTGAGGAAAGTCGAAATTCCACCAGCTGGAATCAAGAACTTGGGCAACACGTGCTACATGAATGCAACGCTACAATGCCTGAACAGGGTGGGAGATCTGAGAGAAGCGCTCAACCACTACCAGCCACCCGGGACTGAGGCGTGCGAGTGAGAGTTAACAATGTTACGACATGACAACAACTCATTTGCAGGTCCGTGATATCGACTCAGCCCCTCCCTCGGACTCGGTGTGCAGAGAAGGGCGTCTTGGTCTTGGCAGAAGAGAATGAAGCTGGCGCAGGGCGAAGCTGAGGTGCTGACTGCGCAGCTGCGAAGCGTCAACTCGCAGCTCACCAGCACCACGGACTCCATCGTTCCCATGCAGTTCGTCATGGCCTTGCGGCAGCGCTTTCCAAGGCCGTGGCCTTGGGGAAGAATAATTGAACATCTTCATGCCCCAACCTCTGCAGGTTTGCAGAGATGCAGAATGGAGCGCCAATGCAGCAGGATTTCAGCTACTGGGTGGTGGCAGTCGGAAGTACAGGCATGAAGCAGCGAAAGTTACCCGGATATGACAGGACGCGGATGAGTGCCTCCGTGGGCTGCTCACAACCCTTTCAGGAACCTTAAAGGGGAGCAGCGAATCCACAAACAGGCCTGAGCTGCCCTTGAAGGCGTTTTGAGACACAGTGAAGCTCGGAGCAGTCAGGATAGACGAGCTGTTTGGCTACAAGATAAAATCCACGCTTCGATGCCTCGAGTGTGATGAAGAAGCACCCCAGGCCTGTGCTGCTATGCCACCTGTTTTTGGATATCACGTGTCCGGAGGAGACGGAAGAGATGAGCCGTGTCCTGCTGTGCCATCTCGGAACGCAGACGGATCCCGTATCGCATATCACTCAAGGTGCCGCCTGTCTGAAGGAAGTCGCGAGACGGGACCCTGCTGTTGTCTGCGCATGTCTGGGCCGTATGGGCGGTTTTGGGAAGCGGCTGCGAAGCACAGCACTCGCCGAGGTACAGTTGTCTCTGAAGGAACACATTGAGAAACAATCGCCCGTGTTGGGTCGCAACGCGCAGTACGAGAAATCATCGTCCATTGCAAGCTTGCCACCCTTCCTCGTCGCCTGGAACTTGGAAATCCGACTTTAATGGACACATGGTTTCCCAAATCCGAATGCTGAGGTTCAATTTGCCCGCTTTGGCTACAAAGGTGCCAATGAATGGGCTGGCACGAGTGCTTCCAAGGTGAAGCTAACGCGCAAATGCGCATTCACACACACCTTCGACATTTTTGATTGCACATCTGATGATGTGAAGAAGAGACTATCTGTGTCTTGGCTCGCATGTTTTGGATGCCTTCGAGGATGTCTGACCTTCCGTCATCTGCAGCTCCACTGCATGCCTGTCAGTTAGGTGGGCCGAGTGAAGAAAAAAGAAGCAGAAGACAAGGAGCTGGAAAGGCAAAAGGCCGCCTTGGATAAGAGCCGCTCGCTTGCACTCTTGTCCTGTGTACATGTGTGGATGGCTAGGCGCCTGTCCCTACCACTGCTGTTGCGAGAATACGAAGACGAGACATGCGCGGCAGAAGTAGCAGTATCAACACATCAAGACTCAACACATACTGACACGACTCGCAATGACAGTGACAGAAGCGGTCGCACGAGCAGGGGTATGAACAAGCACGATAACAGATTCTTTCGAACATTTAGCCCAATGGGGCTTAAAAAGACTCATTAGAAACAGGTGCGGCAGTGACGGCTTTCAGTGGTGTAAGAAATGAAGCAACGGTAAGACTAGTTCTGTCGGGGGAGTGCAAAGCGTTTGGATCAGGCTCATCCATACTCATAGGCTGTCAGTAACAATACCACCCGGCCCGAAATCGTTGCATCACCTTTACGGAGAGTTCACGACTCGGCTGAACCGCCACGTCATCGACGGCACATCCTTGGCCCTTTGCAGCAAAGGGCTTCGTGCATACTGCTGCCAGTCCACCCGACCAGTGCAAAGGAGACCGAGACATACTTGAATAAATGACTCGACAGCAACCCGTGAATTGTGAGGACAAGATTTTGCTTCAACTCTATATCGATCCGTCATGACAGCCTCGGAACACATCCTTGCTAGGGAGTGTGAGCTGCCAAGGTACTTCTGCGAAGCAGGAAGATGTGGAGATGAAGTCAGCAGAGGACCGAAGATCTCCTTCCTCGTGTCGGCACACATCTCACTCGCTGCGACGCTGCGTCTTGGGGCATCGCGGGGGGAGGACTCTGAGATGCAGCCCGTGGGCTTGGAAGAGCTTGACACGGGCTACTACAAGCTTATCGGGATAGTTTCACACAAAGGTCGAACTGCACGGAGCTTGGTCTCGGAATGACGCCGTTTGCATCGACCACTGAAATGCTTGTGCCGTTGGCATCCTGGTGCATGGGTTCAAGGCTGACGGAGGCCACTACGTGGGCTGGACCCTCCATAAGAAAGCGGATGGAAAGGACCTCAAGGTGCATCCCTTGCCATTGTGATGTCGTCGTGTGATGTGCAACAGTGCAGTCCAAAAGTGCCCTTTGTCGTTGAGCAGGATGACAAGTGGGTTCTCTTTGATGACGACGACGTTACCTTCGTAAATTGGAAGGACATGACAGGCTTGAGCACAGACCTGTGCGGGGGGAAAGCCGACACTCAAATTGTTTCGTGGTTGAACTCATTGCAGTCGATGTTGTATTTGTCGATTGCTTAACGTTTCCGAAGAGTCTGGTTTGCCAAGGCATACATCAACATCTACCAAAGGATAACAGTTCTTGCAGATCCTGGACAAGCTTTGGGCAGCGATGCTGGTGATAAGGGCGACAGCGGTTACTCAGCTCCGAAAGATGTGACGATGGAGGGATAAAGAGGAACCGGAGCTCCTGGAAACTTCGGGACGCCTGCGACCTCGAGTGGAGTCCGCACGTCACACACGGCTGTTTGTAGCTGTGTAGCCACACCTAGCAGGTCTGCGACTTCTTGCGAACGTACAGGCAAAGCAAGTAGACTTCGAAGCTATGACGGCGCGTTGCCGCGAAACTTGTGCAGAGAATCATCTTCTGAACGCTGTCTGGAGGTGTCGCAGCATGGTGCAATTGCGTTGTTTTTACAGTCAACTTTTGGCTCTCTGTGCAAAAAAGCCGATCCAACGATCCAATGCCTCCGGGCAAATGGCCACCTCTCGAGGCCAAGAAGGCGCGGTAGCCGAAATTTCTAGGAGACCAACTCGAGAGTCGCTGCATCGCTGCGTGCGCAGAGGCTCCATGGGAGCACCGACGTCCTCCCAAACAGGCCGCCAGCCGCCAGTTCCTGCCGTGTTGTCATGTGCTGTCGCGCTTCGGACTACGGCATTTCGCCCTGCAAGGTAGAGACAATGCCACCGGTTGACGAGGCAACTATTGCTCCACATGTGCCTTATCTGCCTTATCGCTTCCGCAGCTCAAGCAGATGCTGAGAGGCTAAAGAATGTCAAGACATTCTGGAGCTGTTCCGCCAAGGTCGCAAGGCAGAGTAGCCCACTCCACGACTGCACGATGTAGACTGTTGAGTGCAGCCGCTGCTTTGACAGGAAATGAGGTTCGAGGTTGACAAGGAAGCCGTTCCTGTCCAGCTTCCCGAAGTCCTACAGGCGCCTGCATCCTGCGCACCTGCTGATCTCGGATTATCTCCTGACAGACTTATTCCTTCGACAACATGGCTGACACACCCCTGGCTGAACTGCGCAGCAGCTTGAAGCCTGCATCCAAGCGTGCTTGCATTGTTCCCATGCCGAGCTCAATTTGAGCTTTGCCAGATAAGGTTTGATTCGAAGACTGACAAGGCCCCAGCCGTCGCAAAGGCTTGCCCAGCAAAGAATTGCTCTGTGAGCCTGTCCAGGTTGAGCGGTGTCATGTAAAGATGCTGTGCAACCAGGTAGATGGAAGCGTCGTGATGGTTGGAATCAAAGCCTATTCGGAGGACTGCTTCGAATCTGTGGCATTGGAACGTGTTACTTGTATTTAGGTTCTTGCTGGGGAGGTTGGTGGCTTGCTGCTCAGGATTGCAATTTGCAGAGCTTCGTTTTCCGTGAACCTATAGGGGAATTTCAATTTGCAGGACTGAGGCTTCGTTTTTGCGGCAATTTTGGGCAACCAGGGTGGACTTGCTTTTAGAAGGACTTGCTTTTTCAAGGTTTGGTGGAGCAGCTGTTTTGGAAAGGTTTGGTGGGAGTCAGGTTCTGCGGCAAGTTATTGGGGAATTTCGATGTGCGTGGCAAGCTATTGCATGAGCTGTTGGAGCATTGCGTGTTGCAGGGTCTTGTTCTGTTTGAGGCTATTCGGGAATCGCAACTTGCAGGATCCTGTTCTGCAGAAACTATAGCAAGGATTCATCTGGGTACTCCAAAGGTTTGGCAACTATGAAGCAGTTGCGTTCTTGATAGCATGACGGGTATAGTACCGACTGCCTTTTGAACCCACACCCTCGCCAGTCGATTACGTGTTTTTGAACCCGCCGCCTCACTAGGACATGGTGGTAGAACAGCTTTCTTAAACCCGCCGACGGAACACGCAGAACCGATGCTACCCAAGACCTTGCGTCCGAACCTGCCCGGAACCTGAAGCAGCCGGAAACACGAACCCGCCCCGCAACTTGCCTCGCAACCCACCCCCCCCCCCCCAATCTGCCCCAGCAAAGCTCTTGCTGTTGGGCAAAATCATTCCTAAAATCATGCCTTCTGTGGTGCAGGGTCCAGGTCTGATCTCGGTGCTTCCGGTATTGGATCCAACGCAGGCACTTGCAACACTGCTTTCGTTGTGTCTCCTGCTGCCAAACATTCGCATTACTTGCAGGTCCGCAGCGGTGTAAAGATTTCCGACTGTGAGTTTCTTCGTGAGGCTCAGCTCATGCAGCAAGCCGGTTCTCTGATGATGCTTGTGAAGGGTCCCGTTCACGACCGTTTTGTACCGGGCTAGCGTCTCGTTCGGGAGTCATAATTTACGATCGCATGTCGTATGTTGAAAGCGAAGTGCACTTCGAGCCAAGTGAGCCAAGTTTCCATCCGACGCAATACCGCCCATGTGCTGCTCGTGCTGTGACCGCGACAATGCTCCAGCTTGAGTGTGTGGTCAAGCTTTTTTTGTCTTGTGGCACCGCCGGATATGGCGGACATTTTCTGACAGTGTGCCGGGCGAACAGGCTCTCCAGATCCACCTTAAACCATGGGTTTACATCTCCAAGTTTGCAAGTGGGCCGGTGTGTGTATGTCGGCGTGTGTCTGTGTGTGTCAACTGTGACCAAGAGTGTGGCGAAGCTAGTTCGCCTCGGGGAGTACCTGCAGTTGCACTGCTTGGGGCGAAGCACACTGCTGTGTATTGCTCCTTCGAGTAGAGATTCTAGACGGAGTTGAGCCTCAGACGCTTTGACCTGCGCCCCAGACCACTGGATGTTCTCATGATGCCGGAGTACAGTGTAGCTGGTCGAGCAGATGACATGGCTGTCATCGTACCGTGCGTGTAGTTCTTTACAGGATGGAACCATGTGTTTGTTTGAAGTTTGGACATTTGTTTAGTGTTTGGCAGCGGGCACCATGCATTCAGCATTCTTTCATCGCTCACGGTAGCTCGAAGGCCTGCACTAATCTCACGAATGACCAGGGGCCCTGTTGACAGCGAACATCTTGATCTCTACCTGGCCTTCTGCCGCTACTACTTGGTCCTCGGGTCACCATGGAGCGGAGGTGCTTAAGTGGTGCTGTTTCCGTTTCGAGAGATGGTTGAAGCACACTGGTTTTGCCCAGGTCCACCAGCCAAAGGTACGACATGTCAGGGACGAACCGAAGAAGATCACTCGTGGGAATGCCTGTCTGCAAGAGCACGCGAGCGAATCCTGCTCGAAAAAGTAAACTGTTGCCATCCCACCATTTGAACTGCACTTTGCCTCTCTTCACGTCGGGGTCCTGAGCACATGGCACGAGATGGCGGCACTGACGGGCTTGTTCGTTCTGGCTTGCCAGCTTCAGTGCATGTGCTGTGCGTCTTGGGTAAGTCTGAGGTCGAAAGCCGGGAGTACTTGTGTATGCAGATGCACGTGGAAACTGTCATGCAGCCAGCGCTAATCTCTGCAATCAATGGTGCTTTGCCTGCAGACCGAGTACCTCAGCGCGCTGTGCCGTCAGTTTCAACAGAGACGGGATGGTGTAGTTTGGCCTCGTCTCCGGCATGGCGCGCTGGAGACTTCGGATGGAAGACTTTGGGCGGCGGCAGGAACGGCATAGACTGCAGTCGAGACACACATGCAGAGCAGAAGCTTTGCAGGAGGGCGGCAACCGGACGAGCGAAGCCTGGCACCAACCACGCTGGGCCTCGAAGGCCTCGTCGCTCTCAAAAGGCGCCCCAGCTGCGCGCTCCGCCTCGTCCCTGTCCGAGTCAGGGCTGCCTTCGCCTTCGCTGCAGGGACGAGCGAGGAGGAGCGGCCTCCGAGCAGCGGCGGCTCGACCCGCTGCCCGTCCTCCGCACGGGGAAGGCAGTCGCCGGCTCCCAGCGTCGGAGCCTCGGAAGCCCATCTCGACCGCGACCGCCCCCCCTCCTCGCCGCTCGGCTGCCTCGGCTCAGGTGGAGACCAGGGCACCCTCCCCGAGCAGCCCAAGAACCTGTTGGGCCCGGTGCTCTGAGTCGCTCGCTCGTGTTATGCAGAACTGCCTGCGGTCCAAGGCCCAGCCAGCTCCGCCAAGCTTGAGAGCAAGCAGGGGCGCCCAGACGCTGGGGTCCAAGTGCAGCGCAACGGCCGCGGAAGCGGAACGAGGCAGTGACACCTGGGCTACACGTGTTGACTCAAAGCAAAGAGGCTCGCTCATGGCCCCTCGGAAGGGTTGACGCACATGAGATGTTCTCTTGGCACGTGACGGCCAGCTCTCTTTCTCTCAACACAGGGTCATTGGGGTTATTTGAGGTTCAGCCTGTCCCGATGCTACGAGAAGAAAAACGGTCGTGAGGGGTGAATCACAGATACACCGTGGTTGAACACGGATTTTGCTGCTTGTGCAACTGTGAACATGTTAATAGCGTTAACATCTTGATAAGACCAATCCTCGAGAAATCTCACTCTGACTGGCATCCGCAGCTTTGCCTGCACTCGGTGCCAGGACAGGAAAAAGACTTTCCCGCGACCTACAGCATCAAGCCTGGAGACCTTGTAGGCCCCGGCCCCGGAACATCAAAGAGATTCCAGTCTTCCAAGGCTCATGTGCAGTCACGTGAGGATCTCTGCTTCCAGACTATGAGCTTTGGGTGACTTTGCATGGTGGGAATGGCCGCTGGCAGCAGGACTGGCCAGAAACTGCCACTGCCGAGCGAGTTGAAGCTCACTCCACGGGAGGCCCGCGCTCAGAATCAATGGGCGCAGATGCTGGTTGAGCACGAGGCAGGATGAGTATGCCGAAACCAGTAAATCCTGCAGAGTCATGCTGCAGAGCAGCTAGAGGCAGCTATGGCCGCGAAAAAGCTGGAGACAGAGCGCCAGCGCCTGCGCCGTGCAGAGGTGTGGATAATTCAACGACGGCTTGTCTTGGGAGAGCAGGCCTTGCGGTGCACTGGTGCGTCTGCCATGGCCGCAGGTCGCGCGAATACGGCGTGCTGAAGAGGAGGAGCTCCGACGACGCGTGGAGGAGGTCGCAGCCCCGCGCCAAGCCTCGTGGTTCTCATTTCCCTGCGGAGCTGAGGCAGAACACGACAAGCGACGAAGAAAGGAAGAAGAGCTCCGATTGCAGATGCAGCGAGAGGCAGGCGAGTGCAAAAACCCTAAGATGGGCTGGGCGGCGGGGAGCCAGGGGAGCCTGAAGCAGCTGGCTTTCAGGAGGAGGCTCGCCGGGCGAAGCTGGAAGAAGAGCGCCTTCTGGAGCTGATGCAGCGACTTGGAGAATGAAAATGGCAGAAACATCACAAGGAGCGATCATGAGCGATCCGAGAGCCAGGCCGCGGAAGTGCCAGAAGTGCGAAGGTTCTGGCCGCTGCGCCAACTGCCAGGCTTGAAAGCTGTCCCCCTTCGTCGTTTTTTTGACTCCTGTCAAGCACGATAAACGCCGTCAGCAACCGGTTGCAGCTTGACGAACCGGATGTAACCGTGGACCCGAAAGAGCACAGGAAAGGAGGGGAGAGAGGGAGGGAGAGAGTGCGTCCTCATGCCTGGTGAAAGAAACAGAGCCAACAGACCAAAACGTGCGCGTTCGCGGGCAGAAGGGTTTGGTGCCCGTCTCAAGCGCACAACCCGAATGAGGATCGTACCCGATTCTTTTGAATGCGCAAGAAATGGATGGAACTGGCCTTGGAAACAATTCAATCTCCACGCACGCGGTCTTGCCGAGTATGACAGCGTCGCAACAAGGCGCGAGCAAACGCCGAGAGGAAACCTCCAACCTGTGACCCGTGGCAGTAGATTCAGGAGGTGTTACTGACCTTGACGAGGGAAAGAACAGAAAGCCAAAGAGAAACAACGAAGTCACCCGTACGCCCTACGCTACCTGAAGGCAATGCAAACTGGGGAAGTGGAGAGGCCATCCTGCAACAAGGTATTTTTGAAGCAAGTCTTCAAGCAAGAGAGCGGCCATGGGAAGTAAGAAAAGCCAAGAACCCCGACACACAAAAAGTCAACCCTACCCGACAAGAAGGCACAGAAAACCCAGGTTGGCGTAAAACGGCCATACATCTGACCTGATACTGAAGCGATGGATTGTGGGTTGAGCAGGGAGGGCGTGTCTCCTGCGAGCAGGCCCACAAGCCCAACACAGATATTAAGTCATTAAGAAGAGGAACGAACCAGAACCACGCCCCGAGGAAAGAGCGGAGCATCGTATTATCTGCCACAGGCGCTTGCCCGGAGCTTCCTCTACCAAAGCCCACTCCTGAATTACTCGGCCGCATCACTCTGAAAAGAGCGCCTGACAGAGCAGTAGCTCCTTCGATAAGTCGCCGAGCCCCGACGGAGCTGAACATGTTGAACCTGTTTGTCTCTTGGAATACGAGCCTTGCTCGACCATCGCCGTAAATTCAGCCGTGTTGTTATTGGTATGCGAGTCGGCACCAACCCAACGGCGACCGTATTGAGAGATACACACCGCGCCAACGAGTCCCACTTGCGGGAGAAGAGATTGCGAGTGCATGCCCCGAATAGCCTTCTGCAAACTGGTGTCTATGGGACAGGGAGAGGGCTCCGTGGACGTGCTTTTCCTCGCGCCGTCGGTGGGTTCCAGGCATTTCAAGAAGGGAACGCCGTTAGCGGTAGCCGCGGTGGGGTCTTTGGTGTCAGGCCGATGCCCATCTTGCAGGGCCGTCGCCCCCGAGGCTGCAGGCGACCTCCCAGCGCCCCAGCGCCCCAGCGCCCCAACTTCTAGCTGTCCCTTGGCAGAGGCTCTGCGGTGGAGCCGGCGACGGCGCCCTCCTCCGGGACTTCGTTGCGGGGAGCGGCAGATGTGACATCTGCAAGGGCGAGCGCTTCATCAAGCCACCCCCAGGCAGAGCCCTTCCCGAGTCTGCGATGACGGTGGCTGCGCTGGACACTGACAGGTGGCTTCAAGACGCCTGCCAAAGCAGAAGCGACACCCAGGAGGACCTCGCGAGAATACGAGGCAGGTAGCAAAGGGCGCAGAGCACTCTGCCTTGACCTAGATGCGAGGCCTTGAATGGGTCCATGCCGGATGCTAGCGCCTTACCAGACTGACCTCGCGGAGTGCGGCAGCTGCAGAATTTTCGCCCCTCAAGTCCAGGCCTCTTGCCTGCTTGCTTAAAGCAAACAGGCAGGATGCCAACGCACAAACTCTGCATACGTGCCATGTTCTATATACTCTTCCAGCGATGTGCATTCACAATGCAAGCAGTTGGCCAGAAAGACTGGCCTGTAAGAAGCATGGCAGAAGTCGGAGGCCCGGAAGGCTATATAGGTCATGGATCACGTGATATTTTAATTAGACTTGAATCTACGCCTGCTCAGGCTGCATGCTTTTCCAGCAGGTTTCATCTCACGTTTCTCAAGTTGCAGGATGTTGCTGGTTTGGAGAATCCACCTGCAACGTCGCCTCGCTCCCGTTTACGCCATCTCTGGCTTTGCCGCTTTAAAGAGCGACGAGGACGCGGCCCTGGCACTGAGTGCTCCGGCTGAGCGGGGACGCAGCAGCGGAGCTTCCACGCACGCCCAGCGCATCGCAGCGACGCCATGGAAAGGGACACAGTGAAGTTTCACGCAGTGCTTCAATTCATTACACAGATGTTTGATCTCCCGCTGCTGAAAGCGGTCAGACCTGCCATGCTGCAGCACCTTTGCTGTCTCGCGCAGGCAGGATACATGACTTTGTTGCGGCTGGTGTCACCTGTACTGTAGTCGTGCATCGAAAGATCCGTATGCGCGAGGTATGGTTGGGCCTTGCAGTGCTGGAAAGCCCTGCGCCTCACAGGAATGCAAGACGCGCTGAGAGGCCCTGCGTCCAGGCCTTTGCCCAGGAGGCCGGATCATGGGCCTCGGGCCTCGCCTTGGGGGGCGTCTCGGAGCTCTGGGACTCTGGGGCAGAGTGCCAGGCCGGGCCTGGATTCCCGCAGGATGACTGGCAAGGCCATGCAAGGCCAAGCGGCCGGACAGTGGACTTTTCCCAACTCGAAACGTTCGCGAGGCTTCCTGGACCGGGCTTCCCTTGGCCGGCAGTCGTGTGTAGTGCTCTGCGGAGCGCGACCTGGCAATGCTGCTCGACTTTGTCAAGTCGGGATTTGAGTGGACTGCACATACATTGCTAGAGGAATGAGAAGAGCTTTTGAGCTCGATGAGTTTTGATTTGGCATCTCGGCATATGCCGACTGTGGGCGTGTTCTGGCCCTGGCAGCTATCGTACACGGAGAAAGTTCGTCGGCATAAATGATGAGGGTCCCAGAGTCAGGAGTCTGCTGCCTCCCTGCTTCGGGTGCTCAGGTCGGATCCACACTGCGAGTCTGCGCACTTCTGGGTTTGCCTTTTCTCGTGGTCGTAGGCCTGTCGCGAGACAAATGCAAAAAGGCCAGACCTTGCGGCCTTGTACTTGTGGTTTCTTCCTCCTCGGTTTGTCTCTGGCTCGCAGGCCGTTGAGCTGTCACAACTCGGAGTGGATCCAGGCAGCTCGGCGACGCAACTGCCTTGAGACGATCGTCACAGGGTGCGCGCGCTCTCGAGGTGTTTCGCTGGTGAAGCCGCCGCTACACTTGGAAGTCCACGAGGTCTCCGCGAATGCGACTGCGAGCGCGGATGGCAGACACGGCAGACGCCCAGAGCCCCGAGAGAGGTTCTGCGAGGACTTCGGGCTGCCGGACTAAGCCTCCTCGGCCTGACGGCTCACAGCCGCGGCCACAGTCTTGCGGCCCTGCGTTTCGTTTTGTCGGTCTTGTGGGGAAGCGGAGCATTGTTCGAAAGAAGTCTACAGATTATCTTGTGATCATGGTTACGAGCGGCGTATATTCCCAGCCACGCTTCGCTCGACCTTTGACGGGCTCACCAGCCAAGTCCTCATACAGAGTCGAGGATCATCGCCGATCCGCTTCAATATTGACTGCCTTCTGTAGCATGGCCTGGTTGGTTTGGGTCTAGAAGGTTCTATTCTTGAGGTGCAGCATGCATCGTTCCGAAGCCCTGGTTTAAGCCGTGTCTTCCACGGGAGACCAGCTCATCAGCTTCTTCTCCCACCCTGCCCACCCTATTCTTCTACGACGGGAGTGTGGCTGTGCTCGCGGTAGCTGTCGCTGCTTCGAGCCCACTGAGTTTACGCCGGAGTATCACCCAGATACCGCGTGACCCGTGGGTTGCGGGTTTCCTCCTGTCGGGACTCGCGTTCGATGATGAGAATCGTTTTGCATCTTACATGCAAACGTTTGGCGTCGATTCTTTCCAATGTACACAATAGTGTATCATTGTGGCGACACAGTTTCGTGCTCCATTCGCCGTAGAAAAAGATTCGCTTGCATGCGCTGTGCCGTAATGAATCTGGCTACTCTTTTTCGGCGAACTCAGCACTGCCGGACTTCGCGCTGTCTGTCCTGGGAATACGCACGGCCTTAGGAGCCACCTCGGGGCGCAAACGCGTTTCCGACGTATGGTCAGGATACCTCGAAAAAGTTCACAGTCGGACGAGTTCACAGTGTTTCATGTGAACTGTTCCGGAAGTCCAGTTTATCCGTTTGCAATACAGGGTAAAGGATGCAGTCGATGCATGGCTTAGGTGCAGGAGGCGAAGCCAAGCCTATATGGAATTTGAGATTAACATGCCCAGGCGCTGAAGATGTGTCAGACATGTGCAGTTTGCTGCAACCTTGCACGCTCTGACAGGTGTGGCCTTTGTTTTCGGCCGAGAACATGACGGAATTCCACCGGATGCAGAGATGTTGCTGGATGAGGCCGCTTGGAGGCTAGCGGCGAGGATGCAGGCTGCCTTTTAGTGGTCTGTTTGTGCAAGGCTGCCACAATTCCCATGGTCGTTGACGGCGAGAAGGTCCACTGCCTAGTAAACGACGCTCGAATGGAGGTGTATGCAACTTGAAGTCGGCTGCGCAGGGAAGCCTCAACGTGTCCCATGCGGCCGCGCTTGTTTTGTATGAACGGCGGAGGCAGCTAGCGATTGAAAAGGAATGCTCCAGACGTTGCATCAAGGACTCGCGTCACTGGCTTCAGAAGGTAGGGAAGGGTGGTGGCCAGGAAATTTAGTTGCAAGTAGCAAGTAGTCATCTGTTAACCCCCCAACCCGGTTCAAATTGTTCCACGGGGTGCCGACGTTGTGCGTTAATGTCCCTTTTCTTTTTAGTGGCAGCGTGATTGAAGGCAGAAGGCAGGCATTGCCCAGGATTCCTCACGGTGAAGAGCATGTGGATGGGACGGTGGAACTTGACAGTTTCAAGAAGTGATGCCTGACATGTGCATTGATGGTTGGCGAGCAACCACGGGAGTTTTGCCGGCACCCCATGACGACGACGCTTCGGTGGTTTGCTGCAGGTGATAGTCAGCACTGACAGGACAGGTAGACCTCACTACAGATGAGACCGGTCTGCTTTGGTGTATGGGGAACCGTACTTCGAAAGAGATCGTGACAATATTTTAGTTTTTTCCATCAGTATCCTTCATTGACAGGGCCAACTATGTCTGCTATCGTGGTAGCATCAGGCTCAGTAGGGTGCAGTGCGATGAGCTGGAACATGCAACGTATACTTCGGCAGTTTGTAATGCCCATGAAATCAGTCATCAGATGCATCACTGCAGCACATGAACTAAAATACTAAAAGCACCAGACTTCGAGCATGTATTTCCTGTGACTCGTAGCCTGCCGCTGTCTTGGAAGACCCAATGTCTCAAGCCTCATCCGAAAGAAGGGATCCCTTGGCGATGTGGTAGACCACACAGCTCTAGTTTCGCGAGAGACTAAGAAAAACCTTGCTGCGGCCCTAGACCGGCATGCCGCCGAAGAAAAAGGCCGCAGATGCAGCTGGAGGCCAATTCATACACGACTCCAAGCCTGACATGTCATGGTCCGGTCGACAGCCGGTAGAGGTGCTGAACTGGTCATTGGGGCTGAATTTGTCGGCTGTGCGTGAGGCTCACCGCTTAAGAAAGCAAAGACGGGGAAAGCGGCGGTCTGGGAGTGGAAGGCCGTGCCCTCTGCGAACTGGAAGTCTGATCAATCTCGGTATTGATCGCTGCCGATAGGATGGCAGCTCCTGGAAAGCCTATGCGGATGAGGACGATGGCGCAGCAGCTTACTTGCTCACACCTGCCCGTTTTTAAATGCCAGCAGTCTGTGCGAAACTTGGCCAACGTTGGCACATGTCACAGCAAAAAAGCAGGCGTGCCACCTCGTGAACCCCTGAACCTCTACTTCTACCATGCAGGGCCCTCTTCCATCGGCCCTGGCACTTCGTGGGGCGTGTGTCTGCGTGTGTCAGTGTGTGTTTTTCTGCCGCCTCGGCTGCAGGATTCACAACTGTCCGGATCCCGGAGCCTGGGTTGAGCTTGGCACAATGAGACTGTTTGCACACGTCCCGCAGCTGTTGACTCAGAAAAAGCACGGCCACAAAGCAGCCATACGAAACAGCTTCACCACGATCTAAGGGCTTGTTTGTGTTTGTACTGGTTTCATCATTGGCCACGATGCAGCAGAACGCTTTTGCTTCTTATGTTGTGGCAACAGTGAGGTGTCCTGAGACCTTGACTGCGTGAGACAGTAGTAATTCTATTTTGGATCGCCGATGGCATAGCTCTCATCTCCACGAGCACGTGATGACCGTGCTAGGAAAATCGCAGATCGCAGACAGCGGCAGCCTGCAGCCTAAGGCCTTTAGCCCTGCTCGTGTGAAGGACATTGGCGGCCACAAGCGCGCTGTCCGAGTGACCACGTGCTACAGCAGAAGATTACCGGCTCTGGCTTCATGGGCCTCTGGGTCAAGGACGGGTTTGGTGACACATTGGTGGCAAGAGCACCCGGCAGGCGTCAGGTTCCACGTCTGCGAGTCTCAAAACGGGGTGCTATGCAGCACACAGAACCTGGAGATATGCCAGTGATTGAAAACAACAAAACACATCGGAAGAGTGACACACGGAGAGAGTATCGCATATTTGCCAAAGGCAAAAAGAGCTCGCTGGATGCGAATTCAGGGGAGCCAGCGAAAGCAGAGCATGGGGGTGCTGTGTATCATCGCCATTCGACTGTGCAGGAGTGCAGCCGGTGTCAGCAGGCCGACTCCGGAGCCATAGCTTGGTTGCACCGCTTTCGATAAATTCGGGTGCTCTTCTCATCGTCGCTAAACCTTGGACAGGCATTGTCTCGTGGCATGACTCGCTACAGCTGCAAGAGGCCACGTCAGTTTTTGTGAGGTGTGGGTTTTGTGCTCGTTTGCTGTTTCTGTGTTTCTCCAAGTCCGAATAAACAAAACAACCTGACCATGCTCTCTCATGCTCTCGCTCTCGCTCACTCTTTCTTTCTCTCTGTCAGTCTCTGGCCAACTCCCTCCCTTCCTCCCCTCCCGTCCCTCCCCTCCTTCTCCGTGCCTGCCTGGGGTGTTTGCCGTAACGGGAAACGGTTTGTCCATAACCGCACCTGGTAACAGGAATCAGCCCAAGGCCCATGACAGGAACCACGCGTTTCCCGTAACACGTTGAGAGCCACAGCTGGTAACAGGAACCGCGTGGATCCTCCGGTCCGATCCTGACTGTTGCATCGGCTCCTAATTTCAGGGACCGCTTCTCGGTCCTTGAGTTCTAGGGGTTCAGACCTCCGATTCAAGCATGTCTACCGTCTACCCGTCAATCTTGTCGAAAGCTAGACATTCCACCAATTTACTCGGGCGAACTTTGGAATAACGATGTTTTGATTTGCTCTGTGGACAGAAGGAACATATACGGAGTCTAGAGTTTAGAGCTTTTTCCTGTAGACACTGGGGACATGCATATAGGTTTATGTATCGTTTTTAAATCATTTGGGTAGGGTTGGTGTTTATCACGTACGCATCACTTTGTATCGTGTCCGAATCTGCTTCTGGGTGCTTACCATTATCATTGTTTGGCCCGATGCCGAATTTCAGATCGACATCAACTTCAGGCGAAGTGTCAAATCCATTGCCGGCTTATCGAATCTTGTCAAGCCCCGCTAGTTAGTTGTGTATGGGGCAAGGCGAACAAACACAAATCGTGCAGATACTGGCCTGAGGCCCCAAACCGTGGCCATTCCCAGAATGATGAAGATATGACACCCCGAACCCCCAGCCAAGGCTCAACATCGCTACAGAGACGGAGACCATGCATTGTGATTCCGTGCTCTTCTGGCCCACTAGACTTCAGAGATTTTTTGGCCTGTCCAGATTGGAAACCAGCCCATAAGTCTGTTACCATGTGTGTATCGTTTTCGTATCATTTCGGTGTGTGGTTTATTTGTCATTTTGTTATCATGTTCATTATGTTATCATTTGTTTATCAGCACTGTCTATGCCCTCCTCGATCAGTGGCTTGTGGGTGGGATGAGCGGGGCAAGGGATGCACGGGCGACTGTCCTTCCGGACCAGAGACACAACGAACACGCCGCATCCGAATCCACGAGCCTCACAAGCAGCCACGAGCCCTGCCGCATCCTCTTTCGCAGGGGCCGGGGGGCAGGGCCGGGGGGCCGGGGTTGGCGCGGGCACGGGGCCCGGTCCGCAATAACTTCCAAAACAGTAAAGATTGCACTTTGCTGGAATGTCATCATGGTATCACCGTTTTCATTATTTATTCATAGTTCTTATCATTTGTTCATGATTTGTTATGATTTTTCGTCATTTATGTAACTTTTCTGTCTCATTTTCTTATCGTTCCAAATTCGGTGCCTCGTTTCTTCATCATTTGTTCATCGTTCCGGATACTGAGCATCGATTTTTAGCATGTCTTTGTCGTTTCGGATTCAAAGATCAGAGTTCTGCTGAACCTCACCTTGACCCCAACTACCTGCATTTTCGAAATCAAAATAAGCTCAACCCCAACCAACCCAATTTCCTTTTCTGAGCTTATCCGGATTAGGGTTTAGGGTTTCGGGGTTCAGGGGCTTTCACCTTCCTGACAAACCAAAATGCACACATGAAGACAAATGAAAGTATCTGCAACCAGTTCAATTTTTCATGAACCACTCTGAACCTGTGAAACTACAGCAGAATGGTCTTACGACTATGTGTCCCGATGCATCGATAGTCTCAGTCTTCTCTACTTGAGGTCTGCCTGTGGGAGACCGGTTTTCGGTTTTCGATTTCGCGAGCATATGCCAACATAAAAGCCTCCTGCCCGCGCCTTGCTGGTTTCCGTTGCCAGTTTCCGTGCCGGTAGTGTTCCTGTTGCGCCAAAATCAAGACTTGCGCTCCAAGCTTTCAGCACGGCACAGCACCCCTTGTAGGTGCGGCTATCATCTCTGTCAGTCCTGCTGCTCTATGCGGACGGTGGAGATGCTTGACGAGGACACTGACACGTTGGGGCCTCGGGCCGGGACGTGCCTCGCTTTCCTCTCACAGGAGATTACGCTGTCCATCTATCGACCTTCACAAGATCTGTTTCCAGGCGCGTGACTGGAGACAGGCTCTTCTCAGACCCTGTTGACATTGCTGGCATTCGCTAGGATTGCAGCTTCAAGAGGAGGATGTGCTGCAGGTTCAGCATGCACGTGATGCTCGTGCCATGGAAAGGACAGTCCAGTTTCAATCGGCCAGGTCCGGCTCAAGGCTGGATCTACTGTCCGCACCCTCAAGGAGATCGTCAGCCATCGTTCACGAGTTTCGAATCTGCGAGAAGGGCTTCCGGACAATTTTGCCGACAGACAAGGGGAACAACCCCAAAGAGAATGTCACAAATGCTTCTGAGTTCGCCCCAAATCTTTCTGGGGTACCATATCCAACCGGGCTTCATTTGGAGAAGAGGTAAAGGCTCATGGAGCACACACAGCTCTTTTTGTGAAGATGCCGTCCATCTCGCAAGCGAAATGCTAGATGAGCATCGAAGCTCACCAGATGTAGATCGAGTGCACGCTTCTGACATGGTTCGTGAGAAGGTCATCGACACAAAGATGAGCGCATGCCCCAGGAAACGGAGTGCCACGCCAAAGCCATCCGAGCAGCGGTGGCTTGTCTATGCTTGTCTTCTTCCCGCACTCTAAGATGCATTGTTTCCACTAGACGGATTCCCAAATGAGAGCGGAGTGCATCTTCTTCGCACAACAAGGGCGCAGTGCTTGGAACTTGCCTGCATCGGAGCGTTCGGAGAGACGGTGAGAGTGCGATGCTGGAGATCCTCGGACAGGGCATGCACCATGCGTCAAACACGACGTGCGACTTTGGCAGGAGAAGCTGTGCGATCTGTACGGCATGCCAGTTGCCATGCAGGTCATCGAAACGGAGGTGCAGATGTAGTCGATCCATGGTGTTTCCAGGCCATAAAGCGCGACATAGATGCTGCAGCCGTGCAGAATGAGGACTGCGGCTCTCTTCGGCATTCCCTCAGTCAGCTGTTTGTTTCTTTTTTGGACCGGGCAGGATCAGGTTGCCTGTGAAGATGGCGATGTTCTTTATCTAGGCATGTCGGGCGATGGCAAAGAGTATGTGGGACAAACCATGAGTTTTCCCGAACTGCAGAAAGTCGCTGGACCCCTGGAGGCAACCCTTTCGAGTCTCTCTCCTTCTCTGCAAACGGGGAAGGCAAGGGCGTGAACGTGCCGACAGTTGAAAACACGTGATCCTGCCGTCAGATCATTTGAGCGGGCTTCTCTCGATCTCCGAGGCGAGGTCCGAAGTGCACTCTGCACTCCTAGTGCACTCCTGGAGCCCTTTTTTCTTGAGGCTGTGACGGGCCTGCTGGCCGATGCAGAAAGTCGCGCACAGGACAGGTCTCAGGCACCAGTTTCAATGCGAAAGCCCTTGTGGAATACTTCCGTGAGGAGCACG